GATCTCTCTGTTTACTATAGTCTCCTGTTAGTTTTCTTCGTTATATCATATAGTTGTTTGATATATCCTCTTCTTGCCGCTTTTTGCGCTGCCACTGCCAGGTCTTCTACGCATTTCTGCTTGTCGGCTCTAATGCTCCTCTTCTCTCTCGTTTATCTCTTTGTATTCAATGTGTGCCTTGACTTTCACTGCTCTTGTTCGGACTGTCAGTCAGTCAGCTACAACGTAGGACCAGGCACATATATCATCGGTCCAAGTTGCCATACCTCATTAGCACAACAGGATGATAACGAAATTCATAGAAATGGTAGTAATATGTAAAAGAAAGATTGTGTATAAGGATATTATACAGAAAAATAGAATCATTTTGTAGAACGAAAGATAAAAAGCAATTTTAATCTCATTGTTTAAGGAAAAACAAAGAGTATATACATCTACGCTATTGTGATCGATTCTGAGCCATGTCACCAAGAGTCTCCAACCATTGGTTACGATAGTCACGTGGACCCCAACCGAGTAGTCTTCGTCTACCAACATGGCTAAGACTAGAAGTTAGTGACTTCAAGCACTGATGCCACGTTTTGGTTTGGCCGCCCCTAACTTTCTTCCAACCATCTCCAACACCGGTTAGCATTACACGTCGTGGTAATCGGTGTTCAGGCATACGTAACACATAGCCCAAACATCTCAGTCGATGAAGATTGACAACCTTACCAAATGATTTACCATCGTTCCCTAATACCCTGTGTCAAACCTCACTATTACTTACCCGGTGATCCCAGCAGACGCCAGCAATATTTCTAAGACATCTGTGGTCAAATACTAGTAACTTACGAGTATCTTCTACACTTAATGGCCGTGTTTCGCGGCCGAAAAGTAGAACAGAACGAAGTTCTGCGCGGTAAACGAGGTTTTCGAATCCGCGCTGTGATTTCGTCAAACACAAACCCATTAGGGCTGATCAGACCTCCAAGATAAGTGAAGTTGTCAACGCGTTCGACTACTTCACTCCCTATTCTTAGTTCAGGTGTTGACGCAGACCAGTCCTGAAGCAACAACTTGTATTTAGAGGGAGAGAAGCGCATTTCAAACATTCTGGCATTGTTGCTTATTTCTACCAAAAGACTCTGGATTTTATCAGCGTCCTCACCAAACAGGACTATGTCATTTGCGTATTCTAAGTCGATAAGTGGACCTCCTGGAAGGAGATCAATACCCGAGAATTCAGTCGACGAGAATGTTATTTCCATCAATAGGTCTATGATGAAGTTAAACAAAAATGGGGAAAGTGGACAACCTTAAAGGACATTACTTGAGGTCGCAAATGCAGATGACAGTTCGCCATAAGCTCTGACTCGACTAGTAGTGTTCGAGTAAAGAGCCTTCACAAGGTTTATGTATTTCTGAGGTACGCCTTTCAATGACAGACACTGCCACAGAATCTCTCGGTCTACGGAGTCAAATGCTGCTTTTAAGTCAAGAAAGACCACCATTGTCGGACGCCGATAAGTATGCCTGTGTTCTAGAACCTGACGAATGGTGAATATGTGGTCGATGCAGCCACGACCAGGTCTGAAGCCATCTTGATACTCTCGTGTTTGCAGTTCACGAGTCTTAGTTAGGCGTCTGATAATTATCGAGGCTAGTATTTTATATACTATATTAGTTAAACTAATCCTTCTATGATTGTCACAGGATGATTATAACCCTCTCTTATATATTGAGACGATAAGTGATTGTGACCAGTCAGATGGGATAACGTCTAACTCCCAGATCTTAGCTAAAATATTAGTCAACCTAATCGCTAAAATTGGACCACCATTCTTAAAGACCTCTGGAGACAATCTACCTGCTCTTCCTTGTTTCAGATTAGCTATAGCCTTCTGAACATCACTAAGAGTCGGGGGATCTACTTCAATGTTTCATTCAGGCTGTCTGGGAATGGTGTGTAGTTGTAGAGTAGCTGAAGGCCAGCTCAACTGTTCTAGGGCTCATAGCAAACAAGTGTCATCTTTTTCCGAGATAGTCTCACTTACACTTGACTTATTAGTTCCAGTTTCTCTTATTAGTTTAAAGAGCGATCTGGTGTCATCTACAGGCACCGCCTTTTCCATCACTTTTGCCTTCGTTTCCCACCACTGCTCACAGTCGTTCCTTAGAATTTTAGTTAACCTAAATCTGATTTGTTTTTGCTCATCATCGTGTTCAGAGCCTGATGGGATGAGTTTACGATAACTCATCAGTGAAAGAAACTTGGTAGAAGTCCATTGGTTTTTCGTGACCCTTTAGTTTAAACCACTAATAGATGTTGTTGCTTTTCCACAGCTGTTCGTATATCTTTCCAAGCAACATCTGGGTCAGCCCCACTTTCAGAACTACCTAAGTGTGACCTCAGTTGTTCCTGGAACCTACTTTTGGTTTTCTTGCTACTCAATGGGTCTTTTTAGTGTGGCTTTCTTGCATCCAGTGAGGCGCAAGCAGATGCGTGTCTGCATTAGAGAATGATCGGAGTCCAAGCAGGTATACCAAAATGAGCGACAATCTTCTAGTGACCCTCTCCAACGATGACTGATGGCGATATGGTTTATTTGAGTCCATCGTTGGTTTGGTACAGCGGGTCGCCATGTTAGGCGATGTCTCTCCCTATGCTTAAAACCAGTGTTTGCTAAAAATAAACGATTGTCTGAGCACATTTGCAGCAGATGACCACCATTATCTGTTCGTAGTGCTGGAATACTAAAATACCCACCTAAATGTCTTTCTGTTTGGTTTAAGCTCCCCACTTAGGCATTAAAGCTACGAGTACTATGTCTGAACGATTGGCTTTTTGAAGAAGTTTAGAAAGCTTTCTGTAAAAGTTATCTTTCACTTCATCCGGACTGCAGTCGGTGGGAGCGTTTTTGTTAATCATTGTTTTGTTCTTCCTTTATTGAATCCTACCCAGCGTTTCAATGAAGATCCATTCCTCGAGATGTTGCTCCTTGCGTCCCAGACCGTCCTGACATGTTGAAATTAGTGGTTCTTTGATCCCTTTCCATTTGTTCTTTATAGTAGTTTCCTCTTCATCGAGTAGATATGTAGAATTATGGTCTAATTCGGCAATAGTACACTTATCTTTGTTACGATTACAGTAGGCTAAATCCCGAAATTGTAGATTAGTCATGACGTGACCACGTGATCTATAAGATCTTATGTGGAAGTCACATCATTGTCTATTCTGACTCGTCGCATAGTGACAATCGGCAATATGATATTTAGCACTTCTGAAGAACACACTTAGACTAGTGATAGGATGATGTATATTTTAACGTGACTAGGGATTCGTTACAAGGGTGACCACGCCCGTAAGGCTGAACCATTGCATACCGACCAAGTGTTCCCACGTTCCTTGTTGTTGACCTTCTCTTAGTGTTACATGTTGAATGTGAATATTTTCAGTAAGTGCTTAGCTTCAAAGGTCGTGCAGTTAGAAACCAATACCACTGCAGATCTTGTGAGAGGCTTGGGACCTGATGTTGCAAGTTATCTTAAACTTGTTGAGTTCGTCAGTGTCTTGAAGGATTGCTGTATTAAACCTTTGTAATGCTGTTTCTCCGATTGTCGAGTGCTTGCTTCGCTTCAGTTTCATCTTGGCAATCACCAGGTAAATAGCGATCTGAATCTATGCCAGTTCCTATCCTGCTTCTCACGTCTTCCATTGACCTTCTGAATATTTTAGTGATGCAGATACGATCAATCTGGTTCTGCGTAGTGTGATGCGGTGGAAGGCTTGTAGCTTTGTGTGTGTTTATGAGGAAGTATAGTACCATCAATAATCATTTTGTTGAATGCATATAAATATCTGGTGTTGTCCATTCCGACTTGGGCGTTTAAGTCTCCCATTCGAATGGTCAGGCCCTTTCTTGGACACGCCTTAACAATGGTTTGCAGCCTCGCATGAGACTGATCGTCGTCGATGCTTTAATTGGTGGGTGCATAATATTGGATAACATTAATTGTGATTTCCTTCTTTGTGTTTGAAGGATGCTTTGATGATTCTGGATGCATGATATTTCCATCCCACAAGTGCTTTTTGTGCTTCTTTGAACTGTATCAGTATAACTCCTTGTGTGTGCAGAACATTTTGTTGCCCGTGACTAGAGTACTGCATCATCTCTCCTGAATATAATCTCTTCTTTCCAGCTTGGGTCTAGTGTGTTTCACTGATTCCGAGCACCGACAATTTGTATCGCCTTATTTCCGTAGCTATTTGACTGGTTCTAACCGGTCTTTCACATTGTCCGGATATTCCGTGTACTTATATTAATTGTTGCTGTGATTGTTAGAAGGGACATCATCCTCGTGATTTCTTGAGAATCTCAGCATTCACCATGAGGTGTCATGATTCTTCTGAATGAAGATCGCTGAACTCGGAGTTTAAATTGTTTGTTGTGGTTAGTGTATTTTATTAGGGTTGTTTTCTACGGGAAGTTGTTTTTGAACCCATGCATAAATTTCTTTTTTTATCCGTGCTTTGGACCGACGGTAACCCTAGAAAGGCTACTGACTGAGTTGCTATATGTGATCATGGAAGTGGAATTCATTTAAATTACTTTCTAATTCTGTTCTATTACGACTTCCCATTCAAGTTTTTTAATCCGATTAAGTTTCATTGGTCATATTGTTGAAAATGTTTCATATAGATATTTTCAAATAATTCGTTGAGTTGTATTTTTGTCATTGTATATAACTAGTAGTCGTGATCGTGAGTACTGATAGACTATTATTTGTTGTAGTTATTCTCTATTATATTTCAGATATTAATGAAATGGGCGAAAGTTTTTGATTTTCATTGAATTGAGATTTCGCTCTATTCAGTATGTTCTCTCTTCGTATATAAAGTTATTCAGAAATTTCAAAGTTAATCTTTTCGTATTTACATGACTTGAACGTTTTAAAAATCTTATTTCATCACATAATTATACAAATGATCTCAGTATATTTTATTTTATTCTTTGTAGACAAGTAAAGGCAAACCAATACGGTTGTTTGACTTTGTGAAATCAAAAGGCTGTTGTAATTGTGGACGTAAAGGACATACTGTTGATGTATGTGTTACCGTGTCACTGGTATTTTCTTTCGATAATTACACTCCTTCACATGTTTAGCCCCATTTTTCATTCCTTCCGTATATTCACAATTATGATTGGATTTTATAATCATATATTTATATACTCCGCAATAAACTACGTGTACTGTATGATGAGGGGTAATTTTAATACTTTATTGTCAAATTATTGTCACTATAGAAGGAGTATGAACACATTGCTTAGTGATCAAATGTAAAGTATATTAGTTAGTCCGCTAATGTTTTGTAACTAAAGTATATTCGTAAATGTTAAATTGTTTTGTACAAAGTTTAGGACTCACAAATCACTGATTTTATAAATCAATGTAATATTTTAGTCCGATAACGTTATTGCTTTCTTAGTTGAAAAAAATGGTGAATTATGTTTATATTATATATTTTATGGGATAACTTAATCCATCAGTTTATTAAATATAAATCAATAAATTTGGCGACTCACTAGAATACACCTGAACAGACTGAAGTATCAGTTGTATTTAAGGTTGGATAACTGATAAACTTATTTATGGGACACTTGGCTACGACTTTATGATCTGTTTTTTTTAAATAGACTTTCAGAGACTGAAGTAACCAAACACATAAAAAACTTTATGTAATGATGACATATGCATATATATAATTGCTGATGCTTTACTTTATTCTAATTTTGATCGGCACAACAGTGATATTACGTCTAAGCTGTTGATTAAGATTTTGGCTAAGAGTAGCTAATGTATATTACATTTAGGCATATATACTCACATGAATTATATGATAAGATTAAGTATGTAGAATATGGAAGCTGTGTTTCCAAAATAATGTCTACTTACTCCCATTTGGTTAAGTATCTGCATATATCAACACATATCTTGCTTATCTTTGACATTCAGTATTACTCAAATCTCTCAACTCTAGTACAAATGTGTTGGTGTTAATTGAGAACTAATGGAAATATACTTGTTTCTTGATATTGTAGTGACCAAAGTAAACCGATAACTTACTGAACAAGGTATCAAACTTTTAGTTTCAGTACTTCAAGTTCGAACCACGTTCCACCTTCGGTATTGTTAGCTAGGTAGTTTCATTAACCCCTCACAAACAAAAAGTATGAAATTTAGCCGGATGCACAAATCGATATTTGTTTACTTAATTATAAACAATACTGAAAATGATCGTAAAATAGGTTCTTGATTCTAATGTCTGATTAATGGTCGTTTTTCTGTTGACATTTGTATGGTATAAAGATCTGAATGTATTATATATGGTATGTACATTTTTAGTATTATAATACAGTACTTTCTTAGTGGTAATAATACTTTCTTGTTTTACACTTATTGTGATTTCCTTTCTTTTTTTTTATTGAAAAAACCGTTACATAGAATCTGCTTTATTAGATTTAAAACATATTAACTTAAAATCTGTTGGTTTAGTTTGTTTATTAAATTAACTAGTTCTATACTTTTTAATGTTGTATACAGAAGAATGATGTTAAGTTGAGATAATTGAAAGTTAGTAAGTAAATAAAAGTATTATGATAATATTCAACCATTCACATTATTTATATGCTGCTGAAAAGGAATCATTTTCCCATTGCAATTTATGTTAGCACTATGATCGTGATCATGTATCATTAAAACGAATAATAATAATTTTTTAAAATAGCGCTATTGTGTTGAAATTTTCTCTTTTTGTTTTGTCACAATAACTAAATATGCATTGTACTTTTTAATTTTATTCCTCTTAAGGATTGTCGTCACCAACCTTTGAAATCTCATTTTATTGGTCCTTTGCCAAGGAGAAGAGTGTTGGTTTATGATAAAAAAGATATATATAAATCGATTCGCTTAAAGTTAACCAAATTACGTGAAAAGAAATCCAAATGTAAAAAGATCTTAGAGAAGGTAGATAATTGTAAAGTAATCGATAATGAAAATGAATACCAATTGTGTAAACATCCCAAATCATCTAAACAAAGAAAACAAAAATGTAAAAAATTAGACAACCGAACTAATTGTTCGTCTTACAATAAATCTTGTAAATCAATCAATCAAAAGAAATTACAAAAGGTCATGGAACAAGAATTACCATATAAAGCTTCTTCATCTCCATATATGAGTAAGTTTTATGTTTATATCAAATAGATATATAGTTGTGTTTATATTAATGCCTGTTAATTTATTTTCCATAAATCTGCAAGTCTTAAATATTTTCTTGTTTAATTAATGGCGTAGAGGGAAGATGCATTTGAGTCTAATGTGTTGGAAAGTGTAGATAGGATGATTGGTTGCGTGTAACTTTAATATTTGGTTTTATATTTCTTTCGACTTATTGTTGAAATGTGTTACTCCCTGAAATCTATGTATCTTTTGCCTTTTTGTAAGGAATCTAAACGGAAAGTATTTTAATTAGCAGTAGTTTGATGGAAAGACTCAAAGTGTCGTTTTAGTAATAATATAATAATTAAAATAGTATTATTAATGAAACAGTGTTTATCAGACAGTGATAATTTTATTAACTCTAATCATATCATTGTCGATTTTTCATCAGGTAATTTGAAACAAAAGGCCATAAAACAGCGAATGGATTTTGCAAAGTGGGACGTTCTACCGTCACTTGAAATTGAAAAAACGAAGAAGAAAAGGAAAAAAGTTAATAATGAAAATCGGAAGTTAAAGTCCCAAAGCGTTCTATTATCTCATCACGAATTTTCTTCATCGTCTTCATATAATTTCAATGAAATTTCAGACAACTTTTCTATCACAAAAAGAACTAGAAAAAGACGAAAGTCAAGGTAAATCGTTATTGTATCATCTGTTTTTATCTCAGTATTTAGTGGATTTTAGCCGTTCGGTTTTTCTAGTTTATGATATGTTAATCGAAATAACTGATAAAAACTGGATTAGCCTAATTGGATTAATTGAAACTTTGCAAACTAATTGGATATACTTATTTTGGAATACGAGATGTCCAACCAAGGTAGTATAACTTTTTAGATGATAAATGATTAATGATAAATGAAAATGTAGCTCACAGGGAAACCAGTCGCTTTTCACTTCTGCTAATCACATTAGTTTACTATAACTTCAAGTTGTTAGCATTCGGTACGTGTCACACTACCACTAGACAATATCAAAATCCTTACTTTTGTGCTAATTTTTTTCTATTGCACGAAAAGTACTATTCAGTTCAATAATAAATATATGTTTTGTTACATTCCAATGAGTACTGTTTAAACTTGTGTTAATTTAATTCGGTTATTTATTTACTCTGAAGCAGCGGCTTACAATAAGTCACGGAATGTCAGAAATACAATTTTTCTACTCATTGGACTTTAACGAAAGACATATTAATTATTAACTTTCTACCCAATGCTCAATTTATTTGAAATTATCAAGTCCAACCTTGACATTGATACCTACTATTTAGTTTCTCATAGTTCTAAAAACAAAGTCAATTAAAATCTTCCATGTATTGATATATCTATGGCTTCAACTGTTACTATCGTTTCTTTGTTGGATACGTTAATAGTGTATGGTTGGAAGTGATAAGTAGTTGTACTTGTGACTTTACTGCAGTTTGAAAATCGTAAACTGTTTACTTCCATATTATTGTATTAATCGATTGTGATATTAAGCTTTATGGTCACAAGATGCATGGATTGTCGCATCGAGGGTAAAGTTGTGAAGTATGAGGTAAATATGTTAGGTGGTGAAAATAATTACCAGAGCGCCATACGTGATTAATGTTCAGTACTAGTACACCTATCAGCAAGGCATCTACAATCTTGGATAAACCAATACTTCCTGTTGTGTTTACACATACATTTCTCGATTTCACAGTTATTCTAGCTGCGACTGACCTTTCTAAATTACTCTGAAACCCCGTTGTGTCCATACTTCGCCACTTTCACCCACATTCAGTAACCCAGTTAATTGAAATCACTGCTATTTGTACTATCCCACTGTGTATCATCGTAAGAAGCCTGAAAACTACTCAAATTCACTCTTAACGGATATTTTGATTTCTTATACTGTACTAACTGGGTGACAGTCTTGATAAGTTAAATTTTGAGTTTTTCTTTATGAAGATATGTCATTGCTAAAACATATATGGAGTGTTTCAGTCTAGTCATTTCTTCAACGTTGTTGAATTATCCCTATTAATCTTTTATGGTCAATCAATTAGACTTGATGGATATTTTACGGTAGTTTCCTAATTGTTTTTTTCTTTTAGGTCTTCGGAAGACACTCATAAAGCAAGTACTTCATATTCACCATTTCAAAATACACACCAAACTCCATTAAGGAAATCGAAAAAGAAATATTTCTCTCAATCTGTAACTTCGTAATGTGAATTAAGTTGTATAAATTGTTTACCTTATATATAAATATGATAAATTTGTTTGTCTTATTAGTCTCTAGCAAACAAGCTATGGAATAATTATAGGATGTTTTAAAAGTGATCGTTGAATTCACATCTGTTTACAGATATGATCAAGTTTGATACAAAAGGAGAGGAGGCATTAAAAAAGTGTGGTTAAGTTATTTGAATGGAATGTTAAAAGTGAGATTATTAGTAAAATGAAGCATAAGTTGCATGCGAAAATGTATTATTACTAGTGACATTATTTTGTAGTACACAATTATTGATGGGATGGACACCGTACCAGTAATAAATCTTTTAGGCATACACTTGTCATTAATATAAGTAGTGTGTGAAAACTATAGATGGGCTATGAGGGTGTTATAAATGAGACGCTGTGTTTTAGAATGATGGATGCCACAGTGTTGCCATGGTGGGTGTATCAAACAGTTTATTCATAAGAGCTCAGCTTAGTGTTTTACAACACTTTCGCATTGCGTATTAACTGCTATTCATTGTTATTGCTTAAAGTTGTAGTGCGTTTAATTCCATGGAGCGAAATGAGTTTATTACAGTTGCGCCAATTTAGATGATGTAGTCCAACAAGCCCATTGCATCACACATCTATTTTCAATTTTTGCTAGCCATAATACGCAGCGTTTAGGACCCAGTTTTCTTTTACCGGGAGGACTGAAACGTCAACTTTACGGGATGACAGAATAAATAATTTACCATTATTGGATTTCAGTTCAACTACAGAGTTTATGTTAGTTGACAATTAGAAGAAACACTGACTATTTTCAACTAAAAGTATCAAGCGAATAATTTTTACGCTGTCACTAATTTTTTAGGCATTAATTATTTAACATTATTCATTCGTATATGGGTTGAATACTTTCAGCAGCCTTCTTAAATATCTGGGCTACCTGTTTCTGCCATCTGATTATTTCAACAAGTTATCTGGGTTTTTTTCGTTTGTTTTAACTTATAATTATGTCCATTAATCGCATAACCTATTCAGGCGCTTTTATGAAAAGCCTACGACTTTTCGCTGCACAGGTTACAAAAAGTACTATAAAAGACATCGTGGTGGTTGGCAATATGCGTTAAAGAGAATGAACATTAATCGTATGTCGATTCTCGAGCTGCTAAATTCTAACTGACGATCACTAATCAACAAAGTAGACTATCTTCAATTCCTACTAAGTCAAAATATGTGTCGTAATTGTGGTGTCATCACAATTCAAGAATCTTGGTTAAGTGATTTACAGGACGACTGCCTAGTATCACTACGTAATCTCAAAATTTATCGTCAGGATCGATGAAACAATAAAAAGGGGTGTGGCGGCGGTGTAGCTACGTTTGTAAACGTGAACTGGTGTCGATCTTCGTTTGCGTGTTTCAAATTTTCAAATGACTTTATCGACTGTCTAACTCTAAGATGTCGTCCAAAACATCTGAATAAATACAAATATGTTTATGTTACCAATATCTACGTGACTCCAGATTGCACATCATCTGCACTATCTGTTTTCGCTGATGAATTCACTGAGTTCGCTGTCACTGCCTTCAGTGATTCACTTTCAGTTGTATGTGGTGATTTCAGTTCATGTGCCTGTAGCTTTCTTACGTCACTAGGTCACCAAAACGTAGTAGATTTTCCTACTCGTTTGGATGCTCATTTAGACCTCGTTTTCATTAATGATGTGGGTATATATGCGACTCGTAAACGTGCCCCATTATCTAGCTCGGATCACTGTATAATTCGTGTTCTACCTACAGTATATGGAAAGCATGGGAAGAGTACACTCTTACATCAAACCAAGAAAGTCAAATATAGGAAGTACTCAGAAGAAAATATCCGAAATCTGAAAGACATGTTTCATACGACTAACTGGGAATTATTTATAGATGAATCACTGGAAAACACTACTGATGTTATCACTTGTTACCTTAAATTCTGTTCTGATATTTGTTGTCCCACTGAAACCATTTTTGTAAGTTTTGATCGACTTACATCTACACAACTAAAACGACTACAGAGGATGAAAGAAAGAATGTACAAGGAGAAGAACTCTAATGAAGTTCGTAAGCTAAATGGTCTGATAAACCTAGAGATTAGACGTCTCAACTGTATGTTTACTCAAAAACTCTTGTCTTGCAAAAACTCTCCAATTATGTGGAAACTCTTTAAAGAACTTACAGGTGACAGGCACATTAGAAGCGATAACCAGTTGAATGTTTGTGACTTACATAAGTCTTTTGTACGTCATTCATCTGATGTAATGCTCCCTATATCCACAAGTTCAACTAATACTTGTGTGTCCGAAAATGTCTCTAGTCATTTAATTCATCCTGATGTTTAGGATCTGATGATATTCCAAAACTCCTTTTCAAAAAGTGTGCTGACTTTCTATGTTGTCCATTCACGAGTATTTTAACAGATCCTTCTCAACTAATCTCATACCGAAAATGTGGAGAAGGATAAAGATAATCCCTATACCTAAGAAAGTATCTGGTGATAAGAATGTAAAATTTAGACCTATTGCAATAACTTCACCCTTCCTCAAAACAATGGAAAAATTATTAATACTTCCACTTCAGCCTGTGATAAAAGCGCACATTGATCCGTATCAGTTTGCTTACAGATGCAAAAGAAGCACTTTAGATGCTGTTGCTGTTCTGCATCACAACATAGTGTTCAACTTAGAAAACGGTCAGAAGTATGTTCGATGTGCTTTTCTGGACTATACTTCAGCTTTTGATTCTATACCAAGACAACGTTTAATTAACAAGTTAATCAGCGTCAACACTGACAGCTGGATAACCAACTGGCTATGTTCCTACCTCTCTGGAAGGGAACAGTACACTGTGTTTGGAAGAAAGTGTTCAGAGTCTCTGCTGTCTCATGAAGGTGTACCACAAGGAGCTGTTCTTTCACCTCTTCTTTTCTCTTTTTTTCCGCATGATCTGCCATCTTCCACAGAAAACACTTTCGAAATATGCGGATGATCTTACTGTATGTATGCCTATCTCTTCCTCTATACATCCCATAGAAATGAATGAGTTTTTGTCCCGTATTGATTGTTGGTCTGTTGGTAATGGTCTCATACTTAATCCGTCTAAATGTCAAGCTGTTAACTTTAGTATGAGACATGAACGGAATCTAAACACCATTTTGAGATCCCATAATGCTTGTACCATCAGAGACTCTTTGATATACACAGTGTCGAAGGTCAATTATCTTGGTTTCACCTTTTCCTCTGATCTGTCTTGGTCTTCCCACGTTTTATTGTTATCAGAGAAGGTTTTCCGTCTGACCTACTACATAAAGAGATTGCATGCTCTTGTGATTACTCGTCATTTACTCTAACAATTTGTCAATTCTTGCATATTACCTATTATTCTTTACTGTTCTCCATTATTCTTTCCCGGGCTTTTGAGGAAAGACTTTGCTGTATTGCGGAGAGTGCTGAAGGCAGTTAGCAAGGTGTTTGGTCAATATTTCGAGGTCATAATCAATATTGTTGTGGATAGACATCTGAAGTCATGCAAACTCCTTGCAGGTGTTATTTTATCAGATACTAGCCATCCCCTTCACTCATATCTTTCTCCTTGTATATCTTCTGGTAGAACGAGACGTAATTACATTAAAATCCATGCACGCAAGGAAAAGTATGAAAGTTCTATAATACCTTACCTAGCAAATGTACTCTGTGACGAACAGGTTGTTAGAGTCAACCTAGTCAATAACTTACATTCTTAACATGTCCTTAATTCTAAAAGTTGTACAGTTTTTCGGGTTTTTTTTCTTTTTTTTTAAAAAAAATTCTCTTTTTTTTGTATTCGTTACTGTTTTTTTTTGTTGCGTAAGTAACTTGTTGAAATAACCTGTGCTGAAAATTCTGTATTGTACCAAAACTATAATATTGAATAAAGCCATTAATAATAATAATTCTCAATTGTCAATGATTTCGAATTATTTGTTCCAATAATATGTGTTTGAGTCGTATATGGGACTTATTCATCTGCATTGTTTTATTATCCATAATTATCTTGTGAGTAGAATGCTCATATATGCAAATAACGATTAAAACATGTAGTATCAGATTTTAATGAGCATTGTCCTTAGCTAGTGTGGTAAAACATCACGGTTCGAACTTTTTATTTATTTATCTTTGAGCAATTATTAAGGTATCTTAAGTTTTGCAAAATATTGTTACCGTACTGTTTGGTGATGAAAATTAGTCATAAGATCTGAAAGTTTGGTTTATCCCATCTGCTTTACTTCAGTTAAATTTACTGAAGTTATTTGGTATTTCTAACTCAGGATTTAAATTTTATTTCTTTCGTATTATGGTCTGTTAATAATAATCTATCTCCACATTCTAAATCAGTTTCTGATTAAAAATATGCACATTTATTTTAATGATCAATACTATGGTTTTAGGTTGTAAGCAGCTGAGGAGAATCCACGTAATAAATGAATTGATGTTCTGCTACGATATTTGTCTCTTCTTTATTCAAGTTTATCAGTAAGAAAGGTTGTATAAAAAATGAATATTACAACTGACTGAACAGCTTGAAGTATTCATTAAGTGATAAGGTTTCTCTTGATAACCAAATTGCATGAATATAGGCATATGATCAGTAGAGAAAATAATTCACTTGTACGATGCATTAGCTAAATATTTGTTTACTTTCATGATGATCAACACATTGTGCAAAATAGTATATACTTCTAAGCTGAGATAATGGTGGTTAACAGTGGAATCCAGGACACGCGTTTCGTCCTATTTGGGACTCGTCGGCTGGATGTACCTACATCCCAAATTGATGTTCACATATATCAATAAGAGACTGATCAATTGCAGTCCTAAACGTCAATGGAAAGATCCAAGTAACCAATACAAAAGTGAATTAATATATACTTCCTTTTCATATTTTAGTTTAGTTGTTTTCTCCCTACTTATTTTCTAAATCAAGAGACTATATCTCAATGTCATAAATAAGTTTCTATTTTTTCGACTACTTC